TATGGCCCTCTTCTAACATACAGTGAGTCCTGAATGATTCTTTCGCTGCTGTCTTTCAGGGGAAACATTTATGACTTCACAAATACGTATCTCCAAACCACGTATGTATTTTTGAGGAAAAAAAAAAAAAAAAAAGCAGATCCACTGGTTCTTATATAAAACCATTAATTCCTTTCTTTCCAGTAGTATCAACAGTCATATGGAATAAAAATATAATTCTGTACTTAGCCAGGGCACGATTTTGCAACAACTTTCAGCATTCACAGTTTGAAGTATGTTACAATCTGTGCTTACCAGCTTAACAAGAAAAGAAATGACATCTTAAAAAGGATGAACAGATGTCCAGATGCAAGTTTAATTATTTTCATGAGGTCTCATAGCATAACTCTTTTCTTTTACATGGGTGAAGTATTACTAATTTGATATGTAAGTAAAAGTCAACAGTAGAAAATGCAAAAATCCAAACAGGCTGAACAATCATTTTAGTATCTTTTAGTCACATAATATGCTCAGCTACTTTCTTCTGATCAACAAATTAAGCCACTTTACACCATATCTGGGAAAAGTAGCAAGGAATTTTTCTATCCCATGTAAATGCTTTATTACAATTTTTATAACACAAACATACATCTGAAGAGATTAGACATATGGGTAGAAAGGACAACAGTAGGAAACTCCTGACTTGTCCGTCTCATCTATGTGCCAGGAAAGATCATTGAACAGATCCTCCTGGAAGCTATGCTAAGGAATGTGTGGAAGAGAGGGAGGTGATACAGGACAACCAGCAGGCTTATAGAATCATAGAATCATAGAATCACCAAGGTTGGAAAAGACCTAAAAAATCATCCTACTCCCAATAGCTCCCACTAAACCATGTCCCTCAACACATCTTCATCAAGGGCAAGTCCTGCCTCAATCTCATGGCCTTCTGTGATGGCATCAAATGAACAAGGGAAGAGCCACTGACTAGCTGAACTTCACTAAGGTCTTTGATACAGTCCCTCACAACATTTTTCTCTCCAAATAGGAAATATATGGATTTGATGGGTGGACAGATCAGTGGATGAGGAACTAGTTGTAAGATTGTACCCGGAGAGTAGCGGTCAGTGGCTCAATGTCCAGATGGAGATCAGTGTTGAGTGCTGTCCTCCCTCAAGAGACAGTACTGGAACTTTAATATCATCATCAATGACACTGACACTAAGATAGAGTGCATCCTCAAAAATTTTGCAGATGACACCACATTGTGCATGGCTGACACATCTGAGGAATGAGATGTCATCATGAGAGACCTAGACAGCCTTAAGCAGTGGACTCAGGAGAATCTCATGAAGTTCAACAAAACCAAGTGCAAGGTCTTGCACCTGAGTCAAGACAACAGAAAGTTACATAATCGGGAATACAAGCATTTTACAAATCGATTAAAATTAAACTAAAAACTTTGAAATGTCTACAGGATCCATTTAGAAAAATTAAAAGGAATTTTGTTTTCAATCCAATTCAATGTTAGAAAACAGCACTTTAAGTAATTGTACAAAATCAAAGAAATTCGCTTGGATGCAAAAGCCATTATTTGCAATTTCTGTGGTTCACCAAATATTTAGGAATTAATTGCAGGCTAGCAAAAAGACATCCAACATTCCTGTTGGACATCCAACATTCATCTCTTACCATAACTAAACCTGAGAGTCTCTAATTCCATTTTCTGAAATGGAAGACATGAAATAGCTTTGCAATTAATAGAAGTTTTGCTTAAGTAATAAAGCAGGATAATGATAACATTCAGTTAATGGAAGTTAATCAAACAAAGTTTTAACCATTTGCAAATTTATATATTTAAGATGTTTTTTTAAAACTGTTATTCTAAATATTTCTAATTAAGAAGTGCATTGTTACACTTATTATAAAACAAGAAAAAGGATTTAAAACTTATTTCAGGATAGTGCCTACCAAAGGTACTGCTCCATAAAGTCAGAAACACTCAGAAACAGATCTGTAAATCAGGCTGTCAGAAATACTGGAGTTTAGTGTTCTACTGTACTAAGAAGAGAAGCTTGCGTTAAGCAAAAAATTCAGAAAAATGATCACTTATAGAATGTATATGGGTTTGTAAGTAAAAATAAAACATGAATGTAGATAAATTAACATAAAACTAAATACACAAATGAATGAAACTGAAAATATTCATTTCTCAGCGAGCCGGAACTCTAGTTATGTACAGGGAACTACACGGACTTGCAGTTGTCAAGATCTTGTACTTCTAAAAAGGTCACCTACAGAGATACCTGCATGCAGTTCCTGTACTTACATATTCCGTCACCTGGAGTCTTCTCCATTTCCCAGACAAAGTTTGACCTCCATGCTGTCAATGAACATTTCCAGACTGCTTTATTACTCTAAAATACTGGAGATTTCCTATGTATATGAAACTCAGTTATTCTTCTGATGGATACTTAAAGGCAGCGTGTTTTAAAAGGAGTTGAAAGAAAGCACCCTAAGCTTTGGTAGGACTATATGAAACTCCTTTTCCAGCCCTGAGTTTGCAATTGGTTGATCAAAGTCAATTAAACTCCCAGGTAGCATTGTTAACACTAGATGGGAAAAATACAAATACACAAATTCCTTAATCGGAAAGCAATATGCCTTCATCACCCCTGTGCAACACTGCTGGGAAGAAAATAAAAACAGAAATAAACACATAAAAGAGGGTATATCACTTCAGGAACAAAGGCAGATTTTTAACAGTGGAAGGACATAGAAGCAGAGCAGTAAACTTTCTTTATGGAAAGTTAAATTAAATTTAGAAATTTACATTTCTAAATTCTTGGATGTGAGAGAACTAGATGATCCAAAAAGATCTTCAGAGGGGTGCACAGAAAGTGCTGTTTAGAGAAGGGGTAAAAAGGAACCTCATTAAGTTATTAAGCTTTTAAAATTCATAAAGTCAGAAAATTTTCTATGCTTCCCTTTGCACAATAGTGAAAATACATCTCATGTTAAAGGTGGGAAGCATTTTGTGAAGGCTTTTGATAAGTATAAAATCTGGAAAGCTGTATTATGTATTGATAACAGAAAAGATCTGCAGCAAGCACAAATGTAAGTAAAATGTAACAGGAGAAGACCTATAGGTAGCAAAGAGTCTACCTGAAAAGAGGCCTGGCCCTGAAGCTGAAAAAGTCAAGTAACAAGTGCATGTTGCAAACCTGATTTTTTTTTTTTTTCTTTTACATATAGTAAATATAAAGAAACAGATCAAAAGAATCTTCATTTTTTTTCTTTTGAATGCAAGTTTCTGTCTGCCCAGAAATTCTCCTTAGTTCTGAAACTGGGCCAGCTCTTTACACAAAGACATTTCATACAAAAATCCTCCAGATGAAGGGCAGGATAGATGGTAGGTGTTCTGTGTAAGGGTTACATAGGAAAACAACTTATTAGCGAGGAAAAACTCTGTGGCATCTTTTAGACTTTCCACTGTACCAACTCTACAGAATAAACTCCTATTCCTGGCACAAGTTATAGCATTTCTTTCTGCTTATGTTGGTTAAAAAACAAACTGCAAAATTGTTGTACACAACAACTAAGGGCATCAAGCCATCCTTGTGAAACAGACTTTTAATTCATTTACTATGCCAGCTGTTGTATAGGAATTGTTCAAGGATTAAATCACCAATTTTTTAATATTTATGTACGAATCCAATCTTCTGTTTTCTTCCTGTAAATATATAAATTACACTGCAAGTAATAAAAACAAATTACCTGTAGAAAAATCCAAGTTGCTACTGCTTAAGGAGAACTCTTTGTGGTTAAAATCATAGGATATTAATTTACTCTAGTTTTCTCAACTTCAAATAATACAGTTTTGTAATCTTTCCTTTTTGTGATTTACAGAAAAATATAAAGGCTACTCAAGCAACACGTAGGATATTTTTTAAACAGCACCACAGTGTTGGTGATACACCTATGATAAATATTTTTTAGACATACAAATGACTTCATTTTTCACTTAATAACAAGCTGCATGCTTTCTTTTCATTGACCCTTGTAGGACGCTACCCGATCAAGTCATATTCTCAAGCGAGACCGTACCATTTTTAATTAGATGTATACCACTGAAAAAAAAAAATATGAAAAATATATGAAAACCTACATGATTTCACATCTTCTCCAAATTTTAAAAGACACATCTACTCATTCTCTCTTTTTTTCCAACTTTACAGTTTACTTGAAAAAAATTATGCTGGTTCTATCTATTCAAACTCCACATCATTTCAATACAAAAATCCATATAAAAAATCAATTTTACCAAATATATTATCTCCACTCCATTTCCCTTTTCATCTCCTATTCATTACAATCAACAAAATACAGCTTTAAGTGCTGGATAACATTTGTATCATGTAAATTAATATAACGTGAAGCAACAAATTTAATTCTGAAGAAAAATAATGCAACTTTCAATCTCAAGTACAAATGGAAAAAGAGACAATTCTTTGCGGATCCAGCTGGATACCAAAGTCACATGCCTGCATAGCTCACAATTTACATCTTTAAAGAATTAATTTCAACTAACTCTTAATATTAACTCAAGTATTTTCCAAATTACACAGCATGATCTTAGAACCTATACAGCCTATTATATACTCCGATCACTTTACTTTTGCCTATCAGGAATTTTTATTTTTCTTTATATCTCTTTTGAATCTGCTAGATGAATTAGGATTCTTAAATCTGCACATTTTATAGCATGATCAACTGACTAAAATGCTATTCTGGCACTGCTCAGCAATAGCCAAAACACTGCTGTAAATCAATGACATTCTAGCTATAAGTGTAGAGCACAGCACCATATGGGTGCTGTGAGGAAAGCTAACTCCATCCTAGCCAGACTCTGTACAACATTGTGTAGAACGATGAACTGACCACATTCCATGAAACAAATATATATAGAAAAAAAATAACAACAATGCTTGGATTTTCTCCAGAAGAAAAGATGGCAGTACCTGGTAAGCTTGCAACATCTGCTCAGCAAACTTCTGTAGTTCTGACAGTAGAAAAGACATTAAAGAATTTCGAAGTATGTTGTTCCTTCCTAGCAAAACAAGAGTGTGTGACACAGCATCCAGTGCCTGAAACTAAAAAGAAATGTAATCTTTCAAAACCTGTTTTTTTGTTTTGTTTTGTTTTGTTTTTTTTACCCCAAATGAATCCCTTAAACAGAAACAAGACTTACACGCTTTTTTTAAGAATGAAATCAAACTCCTTTTTCTTACAAATTATGTATGTCATTAAGGTAATACAGCATATAGGAGATCTATATTCTCATATACCATTACAAAAACCCATATGCTTTACCCAGAAATCATGTGCTCTCTTAAGTTTAGCACTACACCATATAAAGAAATGTCTCCAAGGGTGCAAACTCTGCAGGGGGCAGCTCTTGGGCATTAGATGCCATCATGCTCTTCCTGCTGTCATAGCAAATGAGTGATCACTCTGCACAGACAGAGCCTAATTTTGTCGTAGATAGACAAATGAACAAACAAATAATTTGAAATAAACAAGCTAAGAGATATATTGGATGTTTCAGTCAAAGGAGTTATCAAGAATAAACTTGATTAAATGCAAACTGATAGAAGATGCATTGGACTTTCAAGTTTAAACAATTCATTTGCAATTTGTTGTTTAACTGGCTGTTATTTAGGCATGTCTCTTGAACCACAAAATGAGTTACGTGAACTTAAATGAGAATTATGATTGCTATTCCTTTTTATTTAAAACAAACAAAATCTATTTTCTTAGTTTCCATAAATGCAATGTACAGTAATTATACGCTGCTGTACTTTACATAACATACTGCTCTAGACAGCAACAAAACATTTAATATAACACTACTAGAATATGTTTTTCTAATGCAAGAATTGAAAGAAAAAAAATTAAATATAATGAATATAAAACTTTATACCCCTACAGCATTCAGTTTATTCAGTAGCACTTGCACAGTATCTGTTGAAACAGCTAACACACTGCAGATGGATATTCCTGACTGACAAAACAGTACTCTGACCTTGTCTTAACCACTCAAAAGCACTATTGCAAGTAGTTAATTCCTCTAGCCAGGTTATGCTTATCTGTACTCAGACCAACTGCTGTTTTTTGTCCATTTTGTTTGGCTATGAGTTTATGGGGAAGTTCAGGTTGGATATTTGGAAAAAATTCTTTTCTGAAAAGAGTGGTCAGGCACTGGAGTGGGCTGTCCAGGGAGGTGGTAGAATCACTGTCCCTGGAAGTCTTCAAGAAACATTTAGATGTTGAATGAAAGGACATGGTTTAGAGGGGAAATACTGTAGGTGGACAGGTGGACTAGATGATCTCTGAGGTCTTTTCCAACCTTGGTGATTCTATGATTCTCTATATATTCACATTCTCAACTAAACTACCACTTAACAAGTCCGAATGGGACAAATCTTCCTGAAAAGCAGGAAAACAAACAGTTGACAGTCAGGAAGGTAATGATGAGTCATCAATGTGAACTTACAAAAGAGAATGCTCAGACAACTTGATAGCCTTCTAGGATTAGATGTCTAGCTGAATGGGTGCAAGGAGAACAGCGACCTACCTTGATACAAGAAGACTTTCAACGCTGTCCCCCATAGAACCCATTTCAACAAAATTTTGAAGTATTATGTATGAAATACTGAGTAAGTGGACAGTGTGAGGAATTAATAACTGCCCAATTTGGCTACACTTGGGGAACTGTGATCTGAGGTACAACATCCTCCCAGAGGCCACTCACTATTGGTATTTCTCAGGGCTTACTGTTGGCACCAAAGCTATTTAACATCTTCACAAGTAACTTCTGTTATGATGGGACAGACTGCACTCCACTGCAAGTTCGAAGACAATACAAAAGCAGAAAGAGTGGTAGACCTCTGGGTGACCAACAAGTTGAAAAAGCTAGCAATATGTCCTTATGACATAAGCCAACACCACCCCAGTCTGCAAGAGCTGAAGCACTGCCAGCAGATTGAGGGAGTTAATCTTTACCCTCTGTTCATCACTGGTGAAAGGCGTTTGGAGTGTTGATGTTCAGTTCTGGGTTCTCCAGCAGAGAAGAAGGAATCATGCTGGAGTGAAACCCACAAAGATGATGATGAAAGAATTGGAATGTCTGAAACACAAGAAGCTGCTGATAGAGCTCCAACTACTCAGCTTTAGAAGAAAAGGCTTGGAGAGATCTTATCAATCTATATATCTGATGGGGAAAAGTAAAGAAGATGTAGCCGAACTCTTCTCAATGGTACCTGGTGAAGTGACAAGAAGCAACAGACAAAACACAGGAATTTCTATATAAATATGATTAAAATATATTTATTTATTTATATTTATTGTGATAGTAATCAGTGATAGAGGTTGCCCAGGGAGATTGTGGAGTCTCCATCCTTGGGGATATTCAGTGCATGACTGAACGCAGCCCCTGACAACCTGCCCTGACTGAGCCTGCTTGAGTAGGGAATTGGATCTTTCAACATCAATGAATATGGATTTACATTTTTGCCTTGTTTCAAAACATTACCTGCCAAGTCAACTGGTTCCAGTTTCTATTAAAATACTGCTACTACCAACAAAAACACTGCTAATTGTATCTTTCATTTTACTTAAAAAGCAATTCTTACACAAGCATGAAATCAATCAGTCTTTTAAGTATTGTGATGGCATTTAAGATGCATTGAAATGCTCAGGTTTCCATGGTTCAAGAATACAATTTACAGATTTATTTACTTATTTTCACATCTTAAATAGATTAACTATCATTTATTAGCTAAGGTTTCTAAGAGTTACAACTTTAATAACACCTTACTAGACACTTACATAGCTATTAGTCCTAGACAATACACTTTTTATAAGCCTATGGAAGCAAAGAAGCACCCACACTGACTCATTATCTTCAGGCATATTTATAGCACAGATCTTTCAACTGTATCCCAGTAATTTATGGTGTAGAGACTATATTCATTCCAATGTGAAACTAGTACTGGTTCCCATTCTCTACTGCTCGCTTCTCCACAGAGCTATAATCTCAAGGATATCGCAGTTTACATTTCAAGTTCTCAAGTTCATGTACTACCTGAATATATACAGATTTCATATATATAGCCTGTAAGTTATTTAGCCTTCAATTCTACCAAGAGTACACATCCTTGAGGAAAGTAATAAAATACAATCACCCTGCTTTAATTTCTTCATGACTAAGGGTCAGCATGGTCACACTCTGCTAAAGCAATCCAGCATCTTCCTCCTCTCACCCGTTAATCAGTTGCTTTCCAATTACTTCCACAATGGTCAATAGTTGATGTAACGCCTGTTTAGCAGCCTAATACAACCAATTGGCTTGGCTATTATTTGCTCATTATGAGACAATCTCCCATTCACAATCTTAACAATCAAACGTTAGTGAATCTTTGCTATTAATCACCTCCTTTAGGTGTAATCTCCACATAAATACAAGAAAATTATAAAAGACGGTGAAGTTTTTCTTATTAGCATCAAGTCTTCATGCTGACACAGATAAATAATAAATCTCGACATTAAAGAAAATTCAGAAATTGTGTACATATAGCTTTGAAAATCTGCAAGATTAAAATGTTAAAGTTAAATGTTCCATTAAAAAATACCTGCAGCTACCACTAGAAGAAAAAAAAGCAAAATGAGACCAAATAAAGGAATTAAAAGATAAAATGTGATCTGAAGACACCTTCACAAACTAATGAGCTTTCATTAGACATTATTCAGTACTCCATGCTCCTTAGACAGGCAAAACTCATTGATTCAACTATAATTCAGAGACAAAAATCAAATAGCACAGCCTGCCTTAGGTCTGATAAAGTACTTTTCAATGCTACTCTTCCCAAAGAACACTCTCGAAAGAGAATCTTTCAAAAAAGAGTCTATATTCTTTCTACTTTGGCAAGAGTTACCATTTTCTAGTAGGAATTATGCAGGAATAAGTGATAGGGAATCTTCAAATTTAAAGCCTAAGCCTCTACTAAATTAAGTACATAGGGATTTTATAATGATGGTACTTACGGAACTTGAGATATGAGTATTGATGTCTCTGAAAAATCCCACCTGCTAGTGATTTATTAAAGAGCACAGATTCACTGACGCGTTTTGGTGTATCTTAGTACATTAAAAAAAAGGAGAAAGCAAAGAATTAAAAAAAAAAAAAAAAACCCTCAGAGGCTGTATACATTAAAAACACACCAAATTTATATTAGATTAGAAAGCAATCCACAAATACAGAAGAAAAGCAAGAGTTCGTTCTTAAAAGTGATGTTCATATGTTGCTAATTAAACTCTAGAAACACTCAAACTGATAACAGTTCAAATAGTATGTAGTTTCATTAAAAATAAAGCACTTCCTCAGCTCTCAAATCTATCAACCAGACATTAAAAAAAACAACAGAAATCTTTTAATCCCTTGAGTTTGTATAGATGCAATAAAACCTGCGCTGTTCAGGATTTCTCAGAAGTAGTCAGAAAACCAGATCGCAAATAAATAAACAAACAAACTGACAAAAAACATATCAGAAACAAGAAAACAATGGAGTCTGGTAGACGCTTAGCCCATAACCCTCATTCCACACTCCAGCTTCTACTCTCTACCCATGTTTCTCATGATGCCCAGCAACCTTCCCCAGTGGTTGGGAAGGATGTGTGTTGCCAAAATGAATACACAGTATCAATGTTCTGCTTGCCTCAGGCCTATCGATTTGGTCTCTCCTGCAACGTGCCAATTTTAAAACCCACTGGAAGGTATTTTTGACTTTCCACTGCTCTTGCCATGCAATTTCAAACAGGCTATAATTTTCAAAAGTTATTAGTAAGTAAAAGAGTGATCAACAAGACAAACAGTGCTCAAACTTGTTTCTCCAGAAAACTGGGATAAAAACCTTTAAATATGAGCTATATGTTTAGAATATGTTAGACTTCAATTCTTTCAGTTTCAAAAAGTGAGTTTCAAAATTGTTAGTTCTTATGCAAGCAAAATAATTCCTTCCTGAATTACATGATTCAGTAAATCTTGTGACTATGAAAATTGAACCTTAGTTTCTTTTTCAGCTGCTTACAGCTG